AAAAAAAAAATGTGACTTTGTATTAACATCAATGAAATGAACAATATTTTCAAATTCAGTCTAAACATACTTTATTTTGGAGCCGGTGATGTCAAGCTCAATGTGCATACAGGAACGGTTGCCAGCTCTGTGCAGTTCACGATTCACCAACATAGGTGCCAAGAAAGGGTTCTTGGCATCAAAAGGCCTGAAAAACAGGGTAAAGACATAACAAATCATACATCATTGAACATATATGCATAAAAATTATGTACATGGTGATTGTCAGAGAGCATGGAAAATTTCCCTTATTTGTGACCGCTGATAAACTGCACCATTCTGCTTACAAATAACGTTAAGATATTTTGACCTTGATCTTCTAATAAAACAAACGCCAATTGTACTGTACGCATACATATATACTTACGGACGCTGAGTGACATAAGACTTCAGTTTGTTCATTTCCCCAGTGTAAATCTTGTCCTGAGGTAAGTCCTCATGAATCACAAGTTTGAACTGACGTTCAATACAAGATGACAGTCTCCTGCAAAAATTTAGAGGTGAGTATCAGATACCTCAGTGTTAATACACAAGAAAACAACAAACACAGTCCAAGTAATAATTACTTGGACTGTGTTTAAGTACGTAAGAATTTATATTCTTAGGTGATGGTGAGAAGTGGACATACAACTTGTCCGACTGATCTCTCTTAAACACTCCTTAGGTATTTAATAAGGATAGTTAAGTTATGGAATAATTCACATAGAGATATAGTTAAAGCTGACAAAAACAGTGTGTAGGAAGTTTTAAATAAGTGCTACACTCGAATTAGCACTGCCCTCAAATGAGTGCTACGACGACAAATCAGACCATTTACTGAAGGCTACTGGGCTTTTTCAAGCAAAAACACTAAACCTGAACATGTGTGTTAGTCTTGGACTATGAGTAGCCAGGGCTGTCATTAAGGGCCAGGGGCCAGGGATTTTCCTTGGCTATTATGAGCTTGACCCATGCCTACTATTGTAGGAAAATAGAAGACAAATAGAACCAAACAAAATCCTTAGCTGTTTGATTCCCCATCTACTTGTATCATTTGCCTGGCAACTTGAAATTTTAATGACAGCCCTGAATAGTCCAATTGATGTACCGGTAAGTTACTTACCTCTTAATTTCTCGGATATCAATGTTGTATTTGCTCAGTACTGCTGGCCAGAATTGCTCTCGCCATCTTACAAAATCTTCCTCTAAGCTGAAACATGAAAACATTTGCCTTATTTACAAAGGGAATCATCCTACCACTTTCAACACTGAATCCAAACAACAACTCTCTTTGATGCACAATTTTGGATTAGAGCACCATTATTTTAGAAAAAGGGCTAAATGAACAATGAGGATAAAAAAAATTGACAAAAAATATAGTTTCTTATCATCACTTGGTGAATAATGCTGCATTTAAGTTCAAATGACTTTAAGATGGAATCCACCAGGACATTGAGTAATTTTGATTTTCAGTGGACAAAAATCTTGTACCAGAATAATTTAAAGCATATTGCACTCTTTCTTTCATTTTTCAAGGGCTAAAGATGTAATAAATCATCTGTAGTAACACCAAAAAAAATTTCTCATGGAAACCTGAGAAAATGAAAGTCAAATTTCACAAAATTACATCTTACCCAAGAAATTTTTAGAATTTTAACTGCATAATCACAATTCTTGAGAAATTTGACATTTATTTCGATTAAAAGGCCTGTCAAAAATAGTTGCCAACACTGGGTGGCATGTCCAACGTATATTACTTTTTGTTCCAGATAAGTTTTTGCGGGTGAAAAGAGGAGCTTGCAATCCTAGTCTCCAGGTTGTTATTACACATGCATTGCATGTATGTAGCCATACATATATCCATTATTACTTAAGCCCAAATATCCACATAACAATTCTCCTCATTGATCTAAGTCCATAAATTTGCGTGAAGGACCAGTTAAGATAATTATTTGTTTAACAAAGCATTTTCACTTAAGTGATCAATTTATTAATTTTCATGATGTTTTCTCTTGATCACATATTGACATGATCGAGAGAAAATAGATTTTTATCACTCCGGAGACTAAAAGGGATAAGAGTAGGTGCTATCATGCTCTAGTTTGGACAGGGCAAGTGGCTAGAAAAAAAGGCTAAACTCACTTTCCATCATCGTCTCCTTCTCCTTTTTCAAACACCCTGTTTGCTCCCATTTCTTCAAGCCTTTTGTCCACAAATCTGCCCATAGCATTGTAGTGTTCATACGTTTTGTTCCCAAGTCCAAACACCTGAAAATACAGACCAAAATGTTATTCTCAGATCAACATGATAGTGAATTCATGCTGCTTAAAAAACTACAAGCTGCTTTATAAAAACCATTCCTAGGAATCCCACCTATAAACCATGGAAAACCCATCTGCTTTGGGTTATACATAATAAGCAGGATTGTCAAAAACAGTTAAAGTAGTAGGAGAATAAGAGAAAGTAGGCAGCATGGGAGACAAAGGCGCAGCACCAGGTGAGGGGTCTGGGAGCCACACATAACACATATCCCTAGTGATATGCCTAGTGATATGTGTTTCCTTGGTAGTGATATGTGTTCCCCTACCAAGGAAACACATATCCCTAGTGATAGGTGTTCCCTTACTTAAGAAACACATATCCCTAGTAAAATGTGCTCACCTACCCAGGAAACACATATCCCTAGTGATACGTGTTCCCCTACTCAGGAAACACATATCCCTAGTGATATGTGTTCCCCTTGCCAGCAAACACATATCCCTAGTGATAACTGATCCCCTATGAAGGAAACACATATTCCTAGTGATAAGTGTTCCCCTTCGGGAAACACATATCCCTAGTGATACATGTTCCACTACCCAGGAAACACATTTCCGTAGTGATATGTGTTCCCCTTGCCAGGAAACACATATCTCTGGTGATATGTGTTCCCCTACCCAGGAATCGCATATCCCTGGTCATATGTGTTCCCCTACCCAGGAAACTCATATCACTAGTGATACGTGTTTCCCTACTCAGGAAACACATATCCCTACTGATATGTGTTCCCCTACCCAGGAAACACATATCACTAGGGATATGTGTTTCCTGGGTAGGGTAACACGTATCACTAGGTATATGTGTTTCCTGGGTAGGGGAACACATATGACTAGGGATATGCGATTCCTTGGTAGGGAAACACATATCACCAGAGATATGTGTTCCCCTACTCAGGAAAAACATATCCCTAGTGATATGTGTTCCCCTACTCAGGAAAAACATATCCCTAGTGATATGTGTTCCCCTACTCAGGAAAAACATATCCCTAGTGATATGTGTTCTCCTACTCAGGAAAAACATATCCCTAGTGATATGTGTTCCCCTACCCAAGAAACACATATCCCTGGTGATCCGGTTCCCCTACCCAGGAAACACATATCCCTAGTGATATGTGTTCCCTTAACCAGGAAACACATATCCCTAGTGATATGTGTTCTGTTTCCGGGGAAACACATATCCACAGGGGTATGTGGGATATGTGTTTCCAAGGTAAGGGAACACATATCACTAGGGATATGTGTTTCCCGAGTAGGAGAACAGATTTCTCTAGTGGAATGTGTTTCCCGGGTAGGGATTAATGCATATCACTGGTTATATGTATATCCCAGGAAGAGAAGTGCATATCACTTGGAATTGTTGCTGGGTAGGAAAAATACATTCTACTAGGGATATGTGTTAAGGGGAACACAGATACTACAGGCAAACACATGTTACTGTGATGTCTCAGTGATACGTGTTCCCTCATGACCCATTTGTTTTTTCAGGTAGGGGAACACATATCGCTAGTGGAATGCGTTTCCGGGGTTCTGCACACTCAGGTACATTTTCCATCACAGTCTCATATTGTTTGAAACAGACTGCACACCACTTGATACTTTTTCATTGGATCACAAACTCAAGGTCTTAAATTTTTGAGTCGGAGGTATTTACCACCATTGCAATGGATAAAAGTTTACTGCTTTAAGTGGATAGCTAGTATTTCAGCACAAGCTCTACTTAAAAGCTTGGTTTGGTTTATACAATTTATTAATTTCTACATATGCAAGTACATGCTTACTGTGTAATTAAGGCAATCTAAGTCATCCCGGTCATTCTGAAGCCATTCATAGAACTCTTGTGCATTGTCTGTAGGATCACCTTCACCATAAGTAGCCATTACAAAGATCGTCAGAGAGTTCTCAATTTCACCCATGCGAGTGAGTTCTTCCTTTAAAAAAAAAATTGGCAATATATGACTTGTTTTTGTGATACATCATTTCTTATGGTTGCAAAGTAAGCTAAGTCAAATGGTTTGATGTAAATTGATGCTTGGTAATATGAAACTGTATGTTCTGGTGAAACTAAAAAAACAATGAACACCAGAAATAATTATTAATGTTACTGTGTTGCAGGGAAAAAGCCAACCAGGTGCAAGAAACCTGAAGAAGGGAGCAACAACATTTACTTAGTTTGTGGTTTGAGGTTTGCCTCTGCGTCCTGATCTTTGCTGTGACAAGTCATAACACAACAAACTTTTCTTCAATACTTTAGCCAGATGTTCAGAGTTATCTGAATAGGTGACAATATTATTTATTCAAACTCAGTCAAAATTTTTTGGTTTCACTCTCTCACTCCCTCGACAGAAAAGGAAATTAAACATTGGGTAACAAACTGGGCAGGGAGTTATTGAGATAATGTAGCATGGCACACAAAAAAGGGGAACATAGACTAACAATAAAAATTACCCACTTTTGTCGTTTATTTTATAGTTTTACACTACATTAAAAACCTGCATGTACACTGTAAATAACCTACACTTTTCCAAGCTTATCAAGGCCTAATTTTCCAGTAAACACCAGTTACAGTTATTGGTGTTTATTGAAAAATTATATGTAGGCTTCCACTACATGTACAGTATTACAGTTCTTGAAAAAGTACTCGTTTTCTCTGGAAAAAATGTTTCTGTTGCTGGAAGAATATTGGTATTTTCATACAGCAGTATAAAAAAAAATTCATAAGTATACACTTGGTGCAAGTGGGGTGATACATACTTTACGTCCCAATGAAATTGTGACATTTGTTTGCGTCGTATGCATGGTCCAATATTCTAAAACCCATTTCCCAAACCCTGAAAAGATTTGCTAACAAATAAAGCTGTACACTAACTCACCATATCACACTCTTCTGGATCTAGTACTAGAGCTTTCAACCCATAACGCTGAGCATCCTTTGCCAAGCGACCAGCAAACTCTTCCGCTGTTCCTGTTTGAGACCCATAGAATATTGCAATACATTTTCCCTGCAAAAGAAACCCCACAAGCAGCAATGACGGCAAGCTGGCACTAAAAACAATAAGTGATAATAACATGGTTCCACATATCACCTGAAAAGTACTATGAATACCTTTGTTATTGAACAGGTAATAGAGTTAAGTACATATGCATATTTTAAAACCAAGGAAAAATATATTACTTAACCATTCAAAAGTTGCTTCATAGCGAGTTTGTCTTCATGTAATGTCAATAGTTTGAGCTTGTGGCCTTGTGCTTAGCTTTTGTTATTGTTNTCTTCTGGATCTAGTACTAGAGCTTTCAACCCATAACGCTGAGCATCCTTTGCCAAGCGACCAGCAAACTCTTCCGCTGTTCCTGTTTGAGACCCATAGAATATTGCAATACATTTTCCCTGCAAAAGAAACCCCACAAGCAGCAATGACGGCAAGCTGGCACTAAAAACAATAAGTGATAATAACATGGTTCCACATATCACCTGAAAAGTACTATGAATACCTTTGTTATTGAACAGGTAATAGAGTTAAGTACATATGCATATTTTAAAACCAAGGAAAAATATATTACTTAACCATTCAAAAGTTGCTTCATAGCGAGTTTGTCTTCATGTAATGTCAATAGTTTGAGCTTGTGGCCTTGTGCTTAGCTTTTGTTATTGTTTTAAGGGCTGTGCTCTACCAGTGCCTAGTAGCTCATGGTGCCTAACGTTTGCCCTTGAGTGACTAAAAAATCTTATTTTTTCCATACAAATTATACGCTGGAAACCTTATATTTTGCGGGTTGAGAGCACCAAGCTCCCTTCAATTTTCTTTAGAGCACAGCCTTGGTTTTCATTGTAGCTACAATAATGGCAGTGTCCCCACTGCCCCCTTTGTAGTAAGATGAATGCATCATCCAAATCTGTACTCAAAAGAGTATTATGGTATATTTCAAAAGGTCTACAATGTAGCTGTAAGACATTTTTTTTCCTTCATACTAGCTCTTTAAACCCAAGTATAGATCAACAATAATTTATGTATGACATAGGTACCAATTATAGCACAATACTGCAAAGGTTAATATGAACTTCAGCAAAAGGGTTTCAATTTTGCACTTTTTGGGGATTTAGAAGGTATAAAAAATAACAAATGGCTGACATTGGACTTACAGATTTTTTCATTTTTCCAATAAAACTTGTGTCTTCTTGAGCAACTCTAGTTGTAGGCCTGTTGAGTGAACAGGACTAAACAGTTATACGACACTTTCAACAACAACAACAACAACAATGCACAAGTGTCAGACAATATACGCTGCTTTTAGGTAGAACTAGGCATGAGATAGAGATTTAACTTTACAGAATGGATGACACCAAAACATGGGGGCTCTGCTCCCCCAAATTTTTGTTTGGGAATGGGCTGCAGCCCCCCTGTCCCCACCCCCCCCCTTCCGCTCTGCTGCCTATGAAGTATTGTGTACAATCTAGATCAATATCCCTCAGTTCATAAACATGAAGTATTTTGGTCCAGACAGTGATGTGAGAGAATCATTGTGAGAGGGACCAAAGGGAACATCTGCTTGAGCTTCAAAACTTTGTTGCGCCACTTCTCCCAACCAGACTGATTGTCCCTAGGTCTCCCAGGACTACATACACGATATGAAACCATATCAAAGTTTTCAGGAGTATTAATTATGTAGTAGCTGTCAGTCACTTCCAGTGTTAATTCCTCATATTAAATTTATTAATTGACCAAAAGGTGAGAATGGAGGAGGTGATTAGTTGTTCATAAGAACCATAAGCTGTTGGTTCACTTATATGTGGTTGATCAACCAGAAGATAAAACTTAGATCAACATATTACAGTAATAGTTTCTAACCGTTAAAACCAAATAAATATTAAAGAAGCGGCTGATTTGCATTCTCTGCGTGCACTGGTCCCGGCACATCATACATGCACAAAGTACAGGTGAGCATCAAGGCTGACTTACGATTAGCACAGAAAAAACTAGCAAAACAAGAAATTACGATAACTTAATGTAACTTACTGTAATGAAAGATGAATATATTGCAGCGATCGTAATTAATCTTAAGCTAACTGTAATCTAAAATTTATTGCATAATACCAAAATGTAGTAGTCAAATCAATGTCAAAAAAGCGAAACAGGGACTCAAGATGGAACAATTATTAAAGCGAAAACATACTTACGCTAACACGAGTTTCTGTGAAAGAACAGTCTCTGTTTTTTTCTTTCGCCCACAGAACCAGTAAAGCACAACGCCGACAAAAGAAGCAAATAGAACGATGTCGATTGTGCCAACCAGGGGTTTCTCCGTGACGGTAGCTGAAGACATGGTGAAAAAATGTCCAAAAAACTCACTGATTTCACAGTTTTAAACTTGTACACGTTGCTTGAAAATACGTAGGCCTGATCTAAACGGAACCGGATATTGCCCCGGTGCAAATCAGCCTGCTCAGCAAAGTTCAAAACAAGAGGATGAGGAAATGTAAACCAAAGCTTCACATTATGCAAACACCGAAATAGATTGCACGTAAATTGCTTTGTAACCAGGTGATCACGGGAAGAACTTCGGGTGTAGAATCCCGCGGGATAATGGTATTCCCGCTATTGAGAGGACACTGGGAAGGATAGCATATGAACGAGGCTGAAGGGCTGAAGCGAGGTTGAAAAATTCCACCGCTTTGACAAACCAACATGGCGGCAATCAAGGCATTAAATCCGAAAGCAGAAGTTGCAAGATCGGCCGCTGCTTTGCATCTTAACATTACAGCAGCTAGAGGTCTTCAGGATGTTCTTAAAACAAATTTAGGTCCCAAGGGGACAATGAAAATGTNAAAGCGAAAACATACTTACGCTAACACGAGTTTCTGTGAAAGAACAGTCTCTGTTTTTTTCTTTCGCCCACAGAACCAGTAAAGCACAACGCCGACAAAAGAAGCAAATAGAACGATGTCGATTGTGCCAACCAGGGGTTTCTCCGTGACGGTAGCTGAAGACATGGTGAAAAAATGTCCAAAAAACTCACTGATTTCACAGTTTTAAACTTGTACACGTTGCTTGAAAATACGTAGGCCTGATCTAAACGGAACCGGATATTGCCCCGGTGCAAATCAGCCTGCTCAGCAAAGTTCAAAACAAGAGGATGAGGAAATGTAAACCAAAGCTTCACATTATGCAAACACCGAAATAGATTGCACGTAAATTGCTTTGTAACCAGGTGATCACGGGAAGAACTTCGGGTGTAGAATCCCGCGGGATAATGGTATTCCCGCTATTGAGAGGACACTGGGAAGGATAGCATATGAACGAGGCTGAAGGGCTGAAGCGAGGTTGAAAAATTCCACCGCTTTGACAAACCAACATGGCGGCAATCAAGGCATTAAATCCGAAAGCAGAAGTTGCAAGATCGGCCGCTGCTTTGCATCTTAACATTACAGCAGCTAGAGGTCTTCAGGATGTTCTTAAAACAAATTTAGGTCCCAAGGGGACAATGAAAATGTAAGTAAAAACTCGCTTGCTTGCCTCTAATTTAACTTTGAAACACGTGCTTTTACATGTCAACTCTCGAGGCGTTGTGAAGCGTGCAAAGAGTTGTGTTGTGCCAAAAAATGTTGCTTTTGAGAAAAGTTCTTTTAATTGATTTCCTTTTCGTCGTTCTCGATAAAGATCAATGACTTTTTCCCTCCTTGTAAATATTAAAAAGGGAGTGTCAGGTGAACTTTCCAAGTGCGATGTAAAGGTGTTAATTTTTGAAAACATGTTTTCCCATTCCCTAGTTTTGTAGCAGGGTTATGAAGTGTAGCAGGGCCTTAAGCGTCTCCTTTATTAATTTGTAATGTCGTTTTTCTCGTTTTAGAGTACTGAATTTAGATATGAGTGATGGAATGCAAGGTTACCGACGAATATTAACCTGTGTGATTTGCTTCACAGCAATACCTTTTCTTCTCTCTCTGTTATTTGTCCTCTTG